GGGCAGGTGTCTTCAACATTTTCATTTGTATTCTCCTTTTAAGTAATCTCTTCAATATAAAATTTCGCAAAACATCATTTAACGATTTTGTAAACAATAATCATGAACCTCTAATAAAATGAATTTTTTTGATAGTCGTCTTTATATATATATATGCAGATTATAAAGCTCCACCTTGCATAACATTACATCTGGCTTTTTACTTCACGTCTTTCTTTACTTATAGAAACCCACAAAAACTGTATTTGACTGTATTTGAATTACATGCAGTGTCTGATGCATTGTGTCAGTTAGGACAATTATTGCTTTTCTCTTGTTACCTAAAGATGAACTCTTTGTTAGAAGAAGGTTTATTTGCTTCATCGATCTCAGACGATGGAATAATTACAAAAACAAAAACGGCGTAATGATGAGAAATGTCAGCTTGTATTTAGGTCTGACCAAAAGTTCCCAGATTGCTATTGGCAATTTTATAAACCAATTAATATCGAAGAGTGTTGTGCATGGATAACTAGTGGAATGTCTTATCTATAATAGTATATATAGTAAATCTCTTTTGGACTTAATTAGTTATAGTATTTTTTCGATAAACTTTAATTCGAACTAAAAAAAAATTTTCAAAAATGGATAATGTATACAATCGATATTATATAAAAATTCGAACTATTTTGGGGATAAATCCAAAGACGATTCACGAAGAACTTGCAACAGCTTTGGGATCCAAGGCTCCATCATATCGAACAGTTGCAGAATGGACAAAGCGTTTCGGTGAAGGAAGAGAAGATGTCAATGATGATCCTCGATCTGGTTGTCCAGTATCCGAGCTGACAGATGAAAATATTGAACTAGTACGGGAGGTTATCAACAATGATCCACATTCAACTTATAATGATATTATAGCTGAGACATTTCTCTCTCACGGTACAATAGAACGAATTATCCACGATTGTCTTAAGATGAAAAAAATTACATCATGTTGGGTACCCCATCGACTGACTGACGAACAAAAGCAAGAACGTGTTAAACTTTGTCGTGAAAATTTGGTGAAATTCCGTGATGGTTCTTGGCGATTATGTGGTATTATAACAGGTGATGAGACGTGGATTTACCATAGGCAGATTCATCGCAAGTCAACAAATGCAAGCTGGATTGGCGAAGATGAATCACCAACCACTATTGTTCGTCGAGGTAAATTTGAACCAAAAAATTTATTTTCTATTTTCTTTAAATCAAATGGTCCTGTTCTTATACATGCTGTTGACGAAGGCAATACTATAGATCACGACTATTATACTGAAAATTGCCTCAAGCCTGTCGTGAAGGAAATATGGAAACAAAGAAAATCAGCAGGTACAAATGGTATAAAATTGCTCCAAGACAATGCTCGATCCCATATTCAATCCGATGTTATTAATTATTTAACAGAACAACATATCAATATAATGTCGCATCCACCATATTCACCTGACCTTGCACAGTGTGATTATTGGCCAAATGATTACATCAAACGTAATTTAACTGATCAACCAGATGAAAAATCATTGGCCCGTGCTGTATCCAAGGCGATAAAAAAAATTCCGAAAGAAGAATTTAAAAAAACTTTTGACAAACTATTAGAAAGGATGGAACTTTGTATAAATAATCACGGTGACTATTTTGAACATTTAATAAAATAAAACTCGAACTTTCTCTTTGTCTTTATATTTTTTTAAAATAATCTGGGAACTTTTGGTCAGACCTAAGTATAATTCAGGATTTTGCGGTAGCGTGAAGATATTAGTACGAATTTAAGTCTTAGCTACTCTTTTCAATTTTTCAATATTTTTATAACTTGCGTCAACTTTCAATTAGTTGTCTTTTCTATATAAATTTTGAAATTACACAAGAACAGGCAAAATTTGGTGGTGGTCATATAGTCAGCACGCATTGAAAGCTGAACATGTTTCTGAATCGCATCTTGGTTGCTTTGTCATCTATAAAAGAATAGATATATTGTAATTTGAAGTCTTTCTAATAAGCATCTTGGTCAATCCAAAATAACACTTCAAAATTTTGGAGAAGATGGTACATGATGTGAGTGATTTTGTCAGCTGATTTCTTGTATGATACTGTAGTAACACAGTTCGAAAATATCAATTCATAAAGGATCAAGACATTATAGCAGATCCTTATACCTACACCGAATCGCAGATTTCCAGTGCCAAAGCATGCCTTTTAAATGCTTGAACAAATGCCGATCTATGAGTACGACAAGAGAGAATCAACAGATCTATTCTCTTCCATTACTAGAAGACAAAAATGGAACTTTAGTTTGACTATTCAGTTTCTAGACAGTTTCCAATGATCGTATTAAATATGCGCATAGAGCCAGGAGTTTATATGATGACAATGAGGATTCATTGGTTACATTCTTATTATTTGAAATTTTTATATTCTATGAGATTTCACAGTGTGGTATCAACTAGGAAAATATCGCTGGGATCTTTTATTCGTTAGGAACCTTTGTTTAGTATAAAACGGCACCAAAATCAGAAGAGCACTAACAATTAGGGATGCACAAATTTCAATTTTAGGAAATGAAATCGGTCGAAATTCGAATTGGTGCATCCCTGTCAACATTTTCAATGAAATGTATGAATAATTTGTTCGAATCAGACAGAAATATGTTCAAACAAACTGAAAATGTCAATAGGCAACGGGAACGCGATAACTCGCTCACATTATCTTTAACGATCAAATTAAATTGTTCATTTGTACTATGCTAGTTCTCCAAATAAGAAACGATCAACAAAGAAGCATTTACCTATGCTGTGAGAACGACATTGAAGGACATGGTTCTCTAGCAGTTAGTCGTTTGCGTTGCACGTTTTTCTCTCTGCTTGCAACACAGGTGAGATATTGACACCACTCACCACATATCAAAATTAATGTCTCACTATTGGACAGACAGATAATTAGCAATATGTCATCTAAAGTAATCTGCGAAATTTGAAAAGACATGATTAGGTTTGAAGAAGATACTTTCTGATTTTGTTAAATAACAAGATATGGACAATGATACTATAGAAAACAAAATAGAAGTTTTCGAGGAAACGACACGTGAGAAAATTGGACGCATTATAGTTGTGAACACTATTTTTAGTCAATTAAAGGAAACTATTCTCAAAGCAGAATCGGTGGGGAAAAGGCCATACGGATTGCATTTTGACAATTTGTTCTTAATGCTAATTGAGGAGAGAAAATAGTAGTCGCATTATGGAAACATGCAAAAATATCTATAGTAAGAAGATCAGTGTAGATAGCTCGATTTAAGAGTAAATAGTGCATCGTTCGGTCTAGAGTAATGTCGTCTAGGGTGTGAGATAGGATTGGAGTTGACATGGATTTTCTTACTTTCTATACGGAAGCATATGCTTGTTCTTCACACACAAATGTGACATGTTAAGACAAGCATTGAAACAACATACAATCAGAGTAAAAAAGAGTGCATGCAGACCACAATGAGCATTGGTTTCGTATGTACTTAATATTCCCAATATTAGAACTTTCAAAATTCAACCGCAAACAAATAGTGAAAAGATCATACAATAATTATTCCGATCTATAAAGAAGATTACTGTATGCAATATTTCTCGGTATTCTCAAGCCGTATTACATTCACTATCTGTACTATCGTGTAAGTTCGGATTTCCAACGAGCTCGACACTATGATACGTCTATGGTATAGGTCTTGTCTACGTTCATAGCTATAATTTATTTTAGAAGAATCTTTTTCTTGCTGTGCTATTCGTTATCTACGATATGAGTCATTCGAATAACATATCTGTGCATATGCTATATCAAAAGGAAAAAAGAAGCGTTTTTGAATATTGGCCACTTGTTCTTACTACGAATACAAGATCCAGTACAATGAAATTAGAATTATTATCAAGTGAAATATTTGTCGAATGCTTCGATTACCTAAATCGACAACATATATTCGATTCATTTGATAGATAAAATTATTATTTTGACAGACTTATTGGAAATATTTCTTTACATCTCAATTTTTGAATATATTAGAAAAAAAAACGATAGCTGATCAAATTTTGTAAAATAAGTTTATTGAATCAAGAAATTAAAAAACGAATTTTGTCTTTAAAATTTTCAAATGAAACTAATACATACGGTCAAATTCGAGCATTTTTTTTCATATTTTTCATTTGGTGAATTTTGTAATCTTTGATCATTAACTTTGATTGAGGTAAAAGATAATGAAACGAAACACAAGTAGATACAATCTATGCTACCATTCTTATGCAGTTTGTCTAATTTTTGTTTGGATAATCTTGGGTATCAGCCGGATGAAATCCTGTTAGTATTGCCAGTAGAGAAAATACGAACATTATCAATGAACATGTCTACTTCATGATTTAATGCTCATGTATAACACAACGTCAATTATATATTTAACACTTGTCTACTGATTGTTTTTTGAATGATCTAACAATGAAGGGGCGTGTATTGTAAGCTAAATTGATTGACCATGTTCGGGCCAAATGAATACTCTCATTGAGAAACTAATAAATTTAAAATATGAGCTGCTATTGGCGTGCCTAGACAGAGATACTCAATTTTTAAGTTATGCATTATTTGGGATATAGTAACAGGATAATATATGAACCAATCACATTAACTTTTTAGTATAATCATTAGATTTTTCAGGCAGGGAGCTTCCGAAATTTTGGTGAAACTTATTAACAATATTCAGACTTCTCTAGATACGACTTCTTCTGAAGTTTAATAGTACAGAATTAGCAAACAACAAGTAGTGTATTGAAAAGTGTCCATATGTAAGATATCAAAAAAAAAGCGTATTAACGAATTACTTGATAATTTATCGTACATCCCTTTATGATTGGTATTCATAAGTCTCAATCAACTGTGGATTCAAAGTAACGTTTTCGCTTATTTTCCGCTACACCTAACACTAAGAAAGATTGATCTCGTAGAATCAAAATATGAATCTAGTAAACATTGCGAAACATCCTCTCTATTTAACACAATTGGAATTTGGCTTTGAAGCTTCAATACCAAATGATGATGAAATTTTTGCATCACAACAATTATTCAGAATTTTAAAATCATTTAAAGATAGTTATTTTAATGAACTGTATACTTATCAAAGTCTCGATTTTGATGATGAATACAATGAAACAACGAATGAAGAGGACACCACTGATGAAGAACAATCAGCTGATGAAGAAGATAATACTACCCAGGTCGGTCATTCCGGCGTCCAAAACGACGTCTTAAACTATCTGAAACGGTGAAAAAACGGTGTGATTACTGCCCTAAACGATGGAAAACGACCGCCGTTTTTCACCGTATTTTGACCATGTTCCGTCAGCTCGGACTGAGGACCGTTTTTCTCGGAACGTAAACGGCACCCTTTAAAACCGTTTTCGACGCGTAACGCTGAGTATTATTATAGCAGTATTGTCGCCAAATAATGTCTTACCTACACCGTTTTTTCTCGCTTACGCTTTATTTACCTTTTGTCGTCTGTTCTCACTGAACAGAACTACGATATTTCGTCCCTCTTTACCTTCCGTAAACACAAGAAACATAATTGATTTGTTTAAGCAAAATACTTACTACTGTATATTTCATTGACATAAGTGTAAATAAAAAAATAAATAGATTTATTTAAATAAAATACTTACTGTCAAATATTTCCATGAGAGAATTCTAAATGAAAAAAAATATACTCATTTCAACAAAACACTTGCTATTGTATATATTAATGAAATAAATCTAAATAAAAAAAAACAAATTTAATTATTTAAATAAAATACATATTGTTAAATACCTAATTGAGATAAATCTAAAAAAAAATAAATATATTTACTCAAATAGAATACTTACTTTGAATATTGCAACGAGAAAAATCTAAAAAAAAAATAAATATATTTAAGGAAAATACATACTATTGAATATATCAATGAGATAAACCTCAATAAAATACTTACTGTTCTATATCTCATTAAGGTAAATCTAAATAAAAAAATATATTTATTTATTTAAATGAAATATTTGCTATTAAATACTTCATTGAGATGAATCTAAATAAAAATAATAAATTTATTTAAATAAAGTGCTGTTAAATATTTCAATGGGATAAATCTAAATGAAAAAAGTAGATATACGCATTTTAACAAAAGACTTGCTGTTGAATATATTAATGAAATAAATCTAAATTAAAAAATAATAAATTGATTTACTTAAATAAAATACTTAGTGTTAAATACTTAATTGAGATAAAGCTAAACAAAAAAATAAACATATTTAGTTGAATAGAATACTTACTGTTGAATATTTCAATAAGAAAAATCTAAAAAAATACATATATTTAAGGAAAATACGTATTATTGAACCTATCAATGAAATAAACCTACTTAAAAAAAATAAATGTATTTATTTAAATAAAATACTTACTGTTTCATATCTCATTACGATAAATCTAAAGAAAAAATATATATTTATTTATTTCAATTCAATACTACTAAATATTTCATTGAAGAAAAATCTAGATAAAAAAAAGTATATTTATCCAAATACAATACTCGCTATTGAGTTAGATGATGAAAGGAATGTGAATAAAAAAAAATATGATTTTTTTTAAATAAGTAATGATCAATTGATTATAGATCATTATAAAGTGTTAAATGATGATTTTAGGACACTTTTTGAAACGATAAAAACGGTGTGAAAACGACAAAAAACGACGGTCGTAATGATAATCGTTTTCGCCAGTATGTAAACAATCACCGTAAAGATCATCGTTTATCGCCGTATTTCTCCATTTTACGACAGATCGTAAACGACCATCGTAACGACAGCCGTTATTCACCGTTTTCAAGCCGTTTAAGACAGTTTACGAGCCGTTCTATACGACATGGGTAATGATTATGATGAAAAATCAATACTCGAACATTTACAATCATTTTACGTTAGAAGAGATGAAAAAAATAGTGGAATAGGTTGATCAACATCCAAATTGTAAGTTTGCAACTATTACGAATAGGTTGTAGGAAAGTCAAATCTATGAATTATATTCCAAAATTTAGAGAATATATTAGCAAGAAGGGCGCAAGATTAGAAAAACTCAAAAATATCAAAGATTTTATGTGGAACGATTTCATGTTAATAGAGCAATTGAAAAAGAAGCAATTCATGATAGCGACATAGAACTTTTAGTGATTCAAAAAGCAAGGGAACTAAATTGGGAAAATTTCAAAGCAGGAGAAACATTTATGAAGGTGTACAAGAGAGAAAATCGAATTTCACCAAGAAGGTACAATAAACTGATTATACGAGTTTCTTCCACTAGAAAAATGTTTAGTTTGAAAGGTATGTCAAGTTTTACTTGAGATTGCGGTCTATTTGCTGAATTTGTGATATCCATACATTTTAGATGCTCACAATTGGATTAAAAAAATCAAAGATCGTTAATTTTGAATTTTTCTTCTCATGAAATTTTGAACAGTGCTTCTTGCTAATTTCAACAAGAATATATTTCTCCAAGAACTCTTTCTTTTACTGGTGAAAGAACAACAGAAGTTGCTGTTAAAAAGAAGAAGAATATAACCCACTCATATATAGTGCAACCTATCACATCAACTGACGGTCAATTATTGGAGAAATTCTTTCTCATTCTCCAAGAAAAAGAAAATGAATTCAGTAAAAGAATACAAACAGATTTAATCCTACCACCAAATGTCGTAGTACGAGCTTCAAAATCTTGAAGAAGCAGCAATGAAAAGCAGCGCACTTTTTTAAGTGAAGTTCTGCGTCTTTTGCTTGGTAGAAAATTTCTTCTTTTCCGTAATTGTTGGAAAACTCAAACTGATCTAAAAAAATTTAGGGCAGTATTTTCATACCAAGACAGTCAATTATTGATTTTTCTAGAAGGTTCAACTGGTCATATTCAACCTCAAGATTTATCTTTATTTCGTTTATGGCGATATTTTCACAAGAAAATCGAGCATTACATTCATTTCAATCGAACAGAAATGAACTTGAATGATCAGGGTGTGAGTGTAAGAATTATCGTAGGAGAACGCTCACACTCACACACTCATACTCACACCCAAGTCTGAAAAAGTTTTTTTATTTTCTTCTTTGTCATTTCAACATGGTTATGCCTTTTCATTTATACATTTATAAATGATAATTTATAAAACTATTTCTATTGATTTTTTGCTATTTTAACGTCGGTGTGACTTTTCATTTATAAATTATAATTTATATAAAACTATTTCTATTCCTTTTTGCTATTTCAACATGGGTGCCGCTTTTTTTCATTTATTTTCGAAGTGATTTATAACAGCTAGAGGTCCATTTGTATTCGAATCCGAATTAGGCAGCTCATGCATACAAAAATCGCATTTCAATAAATATAATCATGAATAGGTGAATTGAGCAAAAAAGGTGTGGGTATGGCTGAATGTGAGTGTGGGTGTGGGTGGATGATATAGATTTGGGTCTGGCTATGGGTTGTGGGTGTGGATGTGACTGTTATGTGTGAGTATGGTTTTTGTTCACCTACACCCTACTTCCAGGCATACTAGTTCATTCACATACAACTAAGGCATTGAACATGAATATTAGTTATTTAGGACGTAAAGTAGAGTATAAAGTAACAGTGACATAGACAAAAATACAAAGAACAAAGATGTACGAGTAGAGATCAAAAGTATGAATCTAAAAGACTCTGTTGCATAAGTCAATGAGCATGGATGTGACTGCGTCGAATTGTGGAAACCTTTCATAAGAGTTTTCGTATGATCGTACAAGTCTTTATGATATACATCAAAATCCATACTAAGCTATGCAAAAGATTTAATAAGGATGTGGGTGGGGTGAGGGTGTTCGTGGATAGAAGACGCCGGTTTTATCCACCGCGACAGCATAATCAACACCCACACTTGCATCCAAATCTCAAAATAATGAACCAGAAAATATTCAACTGTGTGGATTTTAACTTCTCTCTGCATTTATAGAGCTTAATGCTTATTTTTGTATTGCAACATTGCTTCTTCATCCCTTTCAATGGCATTGTCGTTTTTTGTTTTATCGTCAAATTGGCATAGTTATTGAGTTTTCAAAATAGTCTAACAGATATTTCTCATAATCTTGAAAAAACTATTGAGATGAAAAATCTAAATGTCAGTGAACTCTTTGTTTTGGTTGGATGATATTCGAGTCCGTTGCATTATGAATTGTACGAGTCCGAAGTACGTGGTGCCACCTATGTTCTACGTAGAACTAGCACATGAAAGTGAACTCAGGTATGCTATCTCCTTCACTTGTATGTGTTATGAAGTTTGACTTCTGTATCATGTAGTAGAATTCGGTCAAAAATCTGCTGGTGTCTGAGCGTTCTCAGTAGAATTTTCTTGAAAGATGAGTACTTTGTCTCGATGACTATGTGATTGCGTTTGAATTCAGGTGTGTGTGGCAGAACTCTGTCGAATTTTTACTGTTGTGTTTGAATTCTCAGCAGAATTCTGGATGATGAACGGTGTGAATGTGCATGTTAATATGTCTTGATGTTGATTCAACTTTTGTCTGTTTACTTTCAATGCTTTAAGAAAGTTTATTCAGTATTTACCGACTGAGCATCTCAAAATTCTGAGTTTTGTTGGTAAGAATTCTGTAGTATCTCCCTTGACAAAAATCGACTTAGAAAAGTTTATCGGGATAGCAATTGCTGAAGTAATATTTGTTTTCATTTTTGTGCCTATTAGTCTACCTTTATCATAGTCATCATTCGATGTAAAAATCTTATGAGACCTGCATCTGTAAGAAAGAGGCTTATACTTTGTATATTCCTTTGCGAATTACATTATTTACAGTTCTTCCGACATTTCCATCCAATCTTGGTTCTTGGTTGGTTGGTTTAATTATCCTCCACAATCTAAGAGATATTCAGTTGTAATTTTAATTATACTAGAAGTCAAACAGGAGCCTTTTCTTCGCGACAATAGGTTTTCTTTTCCATTGCGATCAATTGCTTTACGATTAATTTATCGGTCACCTTAATTATTATCAAACCATTTACCTTCTCTTTTTTGGTTATCTCATTTGAAAGAATTTTTTTAGAGCATAGTATTTAGCGATTCAACGGATAGTAGATCGAATCATTTGACATACAAAGGCTATAAAATGTTGCCCATAGTTTATTTTCAATCGAGTAGCTAGAGATGAAATTATTAGAAAGGTACCGATATGTTTGTCCCTTTATGACAATGAGGTGTTTATATTTACTATGACAAATTTGATCAAGAAAATGCCCATGAGATGGTGATACATGCTTTATTTTAGCTTCTTTACACTACAAACCGTGTCATTCACACACGGAGTAGACTCTTCTATAGGAGATAGAAAGAGAATAGCGGTCAAGCACAACGGTCATAGAAAAAGAGAACAGTCATATGATAAATATAGAGAAAGGAGTGATAGTGGTGTTCTCCGTCACACTTGTCTTATGAAAAAAAATTCGGTAAAATAAAGAATACTGCAAATATACAAAACTAACGAGGGAACCTTCCTATATGCCCCCTGCCGATTTCAATGAAACTTTGCCTACACATACTACATAGTGCCCTAGTAAACGTCCTAAAAGGATTCGGGTTTTTGTTGCTTCCTTCAGTCTTTATGAATGTTTTATTTCAACTCTATATACTATAATACAGGGGTTCCCAAAATTATACACTCCCCTTCACAGATATGGACCAAAACGTTTATTTCATTTTAACTGTAAGTTATATTGATATAATTGTAGGATGAGTACTTGGTACTTGACATCTACTTTTTAGAATTATCAGTTAGGTTCCTCGATCTCATATATTGGTAGAAAAAATTGGATAAAAGTCAAAACCCACTATACCACAATTATAGACTCCCTCACCCCTACTCCAATGGTCGACGAACTTTATTTGCTTCAATGATATAATAAACCCTTTTTATCAGCACTCATGTATAGTGATAAGTATTATTCTATGTTTCAAATCTCTTTTCATTCTGATTATAGTTATTCACTCGTAAAACTTTCAATCATAGAGTCTTTTTATGATTTTATTGCATTTCCAGTATGAAAGTGGCTAGTTTACAGTCAAAATCTTGCAGATTTAACATGATTACGTTAGATTCGTTTGTCTAATGACATTTTATGCAAATTTGACTTTAAACTAATTAGACAAAACCTAGAATTTTCAGTTCAGTATGGCAAAATCTCTATATGTTACATAGTGGTTAAAAGAGAATGCTTGATAACGAGTAAACTTTTTTCAATAGAAATGCAATCTGATCATACCGCTAGAAAGAGCAGATCAAAATCTACTTAATGCAGTCAAAAATAGCGTCAATGAAAGCTTATTTTCAAAGCTAAGACTATACACAACGTATTGACTAAAAACTTTGAAAAGAATATGAACCATGTGAAATAAAAGAACCTCTGCCGATTTAGCTGTAGCTAGTCGGAATGAATTTTACTAGCTTACGCGAGAAGTTAGCAGTCTCATAAGTAGCTTACACTTGAATACAATTTTGTCGAGACTTCAGTAAAGTGATTGAAGGGTATCGTCTTACTGACCATCAATCTCATACCTTATCCCGTTTACTAGCCAATTGTTTGTGTATAGTCTTAGCTTTGAAAATAAGCTTTCATTGACGCTATTTTTGACTGCATTAAGTAGATTTTGATCTGCTCTTTCTAGCGGTATGATCAGATTGCATTTCTATTGAAAAAAGTTTACTCGTTATCAAGCATTCTCTTTTAACCACTATGTAACATATAGAGATTTTGCCATACTGAACTGAAAATTCTAGGTTTTGTCTAATTAGTTTAAAGTCAAATTTGCATAAAATGTCATTAGACAAACGAATCTAACGTAATCATGTTAAATCTGCAAGATTTTGACTGTAAACTAGCCACTTTCATACTGGAAATGCAATAAAATCATAAAAAGACTCTATGATTGAAAGTTTTACGAGTGAATAACTATAATCAGAATGAAAAGAGATTTGAAACATAGAATAATACTTATCACTATACATGAGTGCTGATAAAAAGGGTTTATTATATCATTGAAGCAAATAAAGTTCGTCGACCATTGGAGTAGGGGTGAGGGAGTCTATAATTGTGGTATAGTGGGTTTTGACTTTTATCCAATTTTTTCTACCAATATATGAGATCGAGGAACCTAACTGATAATTCTAAAAAGTAGATGTCAAGTACCAAGTACTCATCCTACAATTATATCAATATAACTTACAGTTAAAATGAAATAAACGTTTTGGTCCATATCTGTGAAGGGGAGTGTATAATTTTGGGAACCCCTGTATTATAGTATATAGAGTTGAAATAAAACATTCATAAAGACTGAAGGAAGCAACAAAAACCCGAATCCTTTTAGGACGTTTACTAGGGCACTATGTAGTATGTGTAGGCAAAGTTTCATTGAAATCGGCAGGGGGCATATAGGAAGGTTCCCTCGTAAGCCACTGCATTGCTTATGACTTCTGTATGGATTGCCCAGTTTATGGGAAGTATGAGATGACAATGTTCTTGCCATTATCTTTTTCTAAATGTTATGATAGAGACGAGTATAGTAAGAAGCATGAAAAGAATTGGTGTATTCTCCATTTCTATTAGTCATTTTATTTGACTTTGATAGACATCAATCGCAGCAAACTGCAAATATCTTTAGATAATTTGTATTCATACAGTTCATGACACAGATAATTGAACAGATAATTTCGTGACAATCTGTTGCTTATCTATTATGAGTAATTAACTAGTCTCAAAAATTGATCTGTACCGCGAATTCAATATTCGAATTCCTCTTACCAATCGTGTTAGTCATTTCAACTTATAGCTTTCTGGACTTTTTCCAGAGGTTTGATCAATATACAGATGAACAATTAAACTATACCATCGAGTTTCATATTTTAACCCCGAAAGAATTATACTGAAAATTTTTTCACATATGATTTTCGTTTTGAATAGTTAGTTGGATGCTGCTCAACCATTTACTATCAATATAGACAGAAGTGATCAAGTTTTCTTCATTTTCTTATCTGTTGAAATTCTTAAGATAATTTTTGTTTCGTTGAGACTTCCTTTTATTAGTATATAGAAAGATTAAGTTGTGCATTAACTATTAACAATAAAGAAAAGGCACAGTCATCATTGATAACAGTTTCTGTTAACCGAGATGGTTAACACCAGCTTTTGTGTAGTATTTGAGTTGCTTTATTGTTTCTTTGATAATATCCAGACTTTCATTATCTAAAGCCAACAATGAGTAAGGACCATGAGGATGCAATCGACGCATTTGAATGATAATCTTACGAGCGGAGATTCCCTTATTAAGCTTATCCATGGTGACATGAAGAAAATAAATAGTTGATTTCTTATTGGCAAACTTTCGAAGGCATTCATCAGCGATAGTATTGCTGGACGAAATAGCGAATATGACCGATTTACTATCCTTGACCTGAGAAACTCTAAGAACTCCTTCCATACCATTGTACGATGCAGCCTTTTTCGTTGTAGAAAGTGTTAAGTCGCCTTCACCTCTGCTCATCTGTTCCATATCACTCGATAATGTAGTTTCTATTGCTCCTGACGCTGTTTGTCGTTCTATCAGTTTTTTTTGCACTTGACTAGCAATCTCTGAAATTTTAACACCCTGAAAAATATCTGCTAGCGTAACAAATGCATCCCATTCTTGGCTGAGCCAATTGTAGAGTGAAACAGCCCCAAGTGAATCCAGACCAAGCGAAAGGAGCGGGCGATCTATATCTATTCTATCAATGCTGGATGCGCCTAGAAGACGCATGACTGTTTCTTGAATACGTTCAATAATCACTTCGATCCTGGCTATTGATGAAGAGACCGAATCATTTGCTCGTACATTAGAAATATTTTGTTGAGTAGCCTGCTGCTCAATAAATTGTACCAACTGATGATTAGCCAAGTTAGCCTTGTTAGCATGTAGTCGCTTCCAGTCGACAGCAAAAACGACAGGTGATGAGTAGTTTGTTTGCATGATAAAGAGTCGTTCGACTAATTCGAAGATAGCTACCGTAGGCAACATTTCCATTCCTTGAGCAATAAGTAAATTATTCAAGATGACTTGTTGTCGATGGAACATGCCTGCTCCCTGCACTGCTGGCAAAGCAATCGATAGAGCTGGTAGTTTCAGTTGCTCACGACGATAATGTGCTAGAGCCTCGAAAAACTCATTTCCTGCATTGTAACTACTCGATCCAGGATCAATCAAATGATTGCGAATTGATGAGAACATGACGAAGAAATGCAAGGATGCACCGGTTTGTTGTGACGCTTGATGAAGATTCCAACCACCGCGCACTTTGGGTTCCATAACACGAAAGAGTGTCTCTTGGCTAAGATTGGTCAACAATTTATCATCGGATATGACGGCACTGTGTATAATGCCACGCACTGGATGTGATGTTTGATTAAGACGTTTAATCAGTTCATAAACATCGTCAAAATGAGTAACATCTGCTTGGATGACATTAATTGAAGCATTGTATTTGGTTGCTGTTTCTTTGAGTTGCAACCAATCTTCTAATTGCGGATTATTTTCGACTTTTTCAAACTGTTCAATTGTACGACGACTCATTAAAACAATGTGCTTGACACCTCGTTTTTCTACCATCCAACGAGACATAGTAAGTCCCAGACCACCCAATCCACCCGAAACAAGAATCGTTCCTCTCTCACGTACTACAGACGGAAACATAGATTCTAAAAAGAAAAGGATGCTAGCAATAACTATTAGATTAACAATTAAATATACCTTCACTTGAATATTCACTGATCTTCGTGTTCATGTCACTTTCTTTAAGTGTGAGGGGCTGTTCAGAACTCGTCATACGAATTACCATTTTTCCCATGGATATACCGAGACTGCATTGTGTAAATGCATGAATTACTTCAGATGGCTCAAAAATAGTCAAAGGTTCAAATGGTCTAAATAGACCTCTTTGGAAATGGTCCAAAACATCATCGATCATTTCATGAATGGTGTGCGGTTCATCAATGGCGTGTAATACTAGATCAATAATATGAAAATTACAATCTTGTCGCAAATCAAAAATCGGTAGACTTGTTCTCGCGTACACGTCCCGTTTACCGAGTTCAATAAAATGACCGTGGGAAGCAAGTAGTTTGAATGATTCCTGAAGAAGTGGACCTGAAAGGGAGTTAACAACGACATTAACACCATTTGGAAAAAGAGAGCGTATTTCGGTGACAAACGACAGGTCGCGACTGTTGAATACGTGTTCAATTCCATAGTGCTTTCGTAGAAAACATCGCTTGGCATCACTACCTGCAGTAGCAATAACTCGAGCACCAACTGCTTGGCAATACTGAATACAAGCTTGGCCAGTGGCACCCGTCGCAGCGTGAATGAGAACGGTCTGGCCATGCTTAAGTCTAATACGATGTTTTAAGGAGAGCAGTGCGGTTAAAAATGCAGTAGGCAACGCAGCCAATTGTTCATCCGATAATAAACATTCGTCGGGTACACGTGAGACAGCTGAAGCATCGAGAATAATATGGGAATGGAACGTACCTGGCGGCCAAAGGGCAATGACACGATCTCCAATCTTCAGATCCTTAGAATGAGAAAGAATAACAGTACCCATTACATCAGTTCCAGGAGTAGTATCACGATCGAACAAAGGTTCATCATAATCTCGTTGACCAAACACTCGTGTATGAGGGTACAGACCACGTATTTTTAAGACATCTCTGAAATTAAGACTAGTGCAGTGAATACGAACTTGGATTTGGCCAGATGATAGATTTCTGATTAGTATTGGACCTCTCACCCAAGCAAGGTCAGCTACAAAACGCGATGGTGCAACTTGAAGCCAAAATGGATTCTTGTCAGCGTCATTTTTAGGTACGATTGTTCTTTCCATTTTCGATGATAATTCCTGCTGTTCTTTTGATTGTAACCAATCATAATGCCACTGAAAACACTGAATACGACGGTCTGCCTCACGAGAAAGAACAACTTCATCAAGATTATCGGCTTCCCGTGAGTTGATCATATGCTCTATGAGAATATCGCAATAGAATGATTCTACAAATATGTCTGCTGTTGGTTGTAAGTCAATGAGTTTAATATGATGACGCGGACATTCAATGCTTAAACTACGGGCAAGTCCAATGAGTGATGCTATTACAGGATTGAATTCACTCTTTTCATGCATTGGCTGAGAGTTTTGTGTAAGAATAAAAACGTATGGAAATGAATTATTCTGTCGATGATATTTTTGAATAGATTGCAGAATGTAAATAAATTTGTAGCATAAATGTTCTACATGCGATACAAATGTTGTTTCATTGTTGTTCTGACCAAGTTGCAATACATCGAGTGGCCAAGCAAATACGATATGCAGTTGTTTATATTGTTTTAACATGATATCAATCGTTGAAGAAATATGATCAATAATAACACTATCTGGTAGAATTTCAATGTTAGAACTTGGTAAGTGAGGTACAAGTGCATGTGACAGATTGTGTGTACGATCAGCAAATAAGAGCCAGGCTTGATCCTGCCATTCGGAAAGGTGAATGAGAATGGATCTTGCTGTTGATTTTCGCACAATCATGAGCGAATCTCCAAATGCATTCGCCTTTGCTGATACTACCATCGGTTCAAATCCACCTACTGACTGGAATGCTTGTCTCCATTGATCAATATTCAGTGGAGCACGATTGTGATCATTACGCCACCAATAAGGAAATAAGCCAAATATAAGATCGAAGTAAGAATGAGTTAATGTCAATTCGACCACAAGAAGAAGACCGCCTGGTACCAGAAGACGACGAAGTGAATTAAGTGAGTGATTAATATCATTTGTTGTTTGAAGTACACTGGCCACAAAGATAATATCATGAGATTCGTCTACAAAAAATATCCATCAATCAATTTTGCAACTTTTAAAACATGAGTTATTGTGCTCAAAGAGGATCTAAATATCAACTACATTTATCGAAATACACAGGGAAATATTTGATCGAAACATGTTTTAATGTGCCCCAAAATAGGTAAACAATTTATATAAACACGTTGGATTCGACTAAATTCACGCATTTTTCCATCTCAGTTACTCGGAACTCGTCGAAAAACGTCGTTTAACAGTATTCTTAACAAACACTGTCTTCAAGAAAAAATTTCGTTTCTCGACAATGTGAAAATAAATATGTCCAAATATTTAAACTACATTTTCGTTCTTTTGCGAAAACTGCACCAGAAATCATTTGCTCGTCGTAACTTAAAATTAGTGATCTTGATCAACTACTTCACACGTAAGAGTTGTGTATTTTTTCAAGAATATAGTTGAAGAAATATGCATAACTTTAAGACTACCTATTGAAGCGGGATGACGAGTATGTGTTCTTTGTGGTATTGGGTACGAAACTCGAAAGTTTCACTCAATGTATAGTCAGTATGTCTTATAAGCAATTGGAACAAGCGTATGCTTCGACTGTTGAACTTCAACAGGTAATGTAGAAAGTCAATATCTGTCTTCAAACTTTATTCTTGAAAAGCTACTCTAACAATTAAAATAGTTGATTAATAGTGCTAGTTCGCAGTTACGATAAACGTCTTTTGCTCACGTTTTCTGTAATATGGTGTTCAAAATTAGAAGGAGCTAAAGAAATAATCAAACTAATTTGTTAAACACAATCATTCGACATGTATCTTCGTGTGCTATTAATTTCTTCATTACTCGAGTATAAAAGTGAGGGGAAAGAAAATTCAACTCAGTTCTCATCAAAACATGCTGATTTGAATTAAAATAAAAACCGCAAAATCACATAAAGATGAAATGTGAAAACCAAAAAAGCGATGAAGTACGCAATGGCCTCAAGACATTATTTAGACTCGATTCATCTTTTGATAAACATCATCTCGAGTTTAAGTGTGTAATACGGATTGCAAACATAATATCAGAATATTAAAAAAAAAGAATTCATACAAGAAAACAGAATACAGGAAATAACTCTTTTTTCTAAGTCTTGGCTCTCAAATGTAATAATTAATCGAGAAACAACAGGTACGATAATCTCTTGAAAGTGCACTAAATTTTCTTAACAACATCCAGACAGAATATTCACAAAAATCTGAAGGATTTTAAGTATAGAGTGTAAGACACAATGTATAGACAAGATAATAACGAAAGATCGCGACGTTCCATCTAGCAAGCATCTCAGAAAAGTACGGATTTCATATACAAATTCGAAACTACTCAGTTTTCAGTTCATTTAAATTTTTGTTACAATTTTCTTCAAATAATACATTTTACTTGTATTTTCATTTCTTTTGAAGTGCTTCAGAGAAAACTTTTCATAAAATACATAAAATAGTGTACAAAAAAAGCAAGAAAGTGTGTCTTTGGAGTAAATTGTGACTAAAACTGATATGAATCGAAAATCTGACTCGCGTTCGCACAATTGTACATGAGATCCATATTTTTTTCAAGATGTTTGCCTGGCTGGATCATAAAAACAAAAAAAAACGCGGTTCTACTCAGGAAAGGTGGATAAAAAAATCACAGATAATCCGCAGAGAGGTAATCGGTCATTCTGAACACTTGTAGCATATAACAAATACGCAGCAAGGAAAAGAAACTCCATCGATTGATGATTCCGTTACATTACGTGAAGAGAAAACTTTTTCAACCACAGTACATTTTTTTATTACAACACATCTGTTGTAGATAGGTATTGTAGGACAGTTGAGTATGTGACTAATGTTGTTTAATTACTCCTATAAGCACAGACTATACCTTGATATTTTTACGACGGTTTAAAAACGATTAAAGAACTTCTTAGTCAGAAGATAGCATTAGAAAATAGAGAAAATGCTATGCTATTCAAGCTTCGAAGAAATCATTTATTAAGGAATAAAAAACTGAAAATCAAAGATTCAGTTGAACCAACTGCATCATAGTTTGTTGAAATACACATTCAAAATACTACTAACACATGTTTGTAGTATTCTACTGTTCGAAAATACATTAGGATATCGTTTTTACCTTTATAAAAATGAAGCTTCTTTGAGTACACGATGGATTCAGATCAAGTACTTTATTTCACTAATGATTTTACATATCAATCTTAAACACTAATAATTAAATCATAATTTTTATTTTGGCACATTTGTTTTACCCATTTAAAAACAATGCACTTGGCTAATCCAACTATGAGCATCATCACGTTTTTGAAATATTTACAAAGGACATTTGAACTCTACGGGATTTTTATATCAGACACTAGATTGATATCCATTGTCAAATACTGTATTATTGACGACAAAAATGGGCGACAAATTATTTTTTTTTGCTTTCAGATAAGATATGTGTTTTGTCAGTAAAAATAAACATTAGAAAATACTATTCTAAAATCGAAGAAAACTAAAAAAGCAACAGTTTCTATTTATCGATGAAGTTTCACAATTTGAAAAAGAACGTACTGAAACAACTATTGAGGTAAGGACAAGTCACAGTAAACAATCTTTAACCTCTGAAATAAACGTAGTGCACGTGTGCGAAAAGACTGATGTGAAACATCGTTTAAATTGCAGTCTTACTCCCATTCAATTGCTGTCAACACGTCAAAATTGCGAAACGGTGAATTTTATTGGAAAAAAAAACTGTAAAATTCCAGTTTTTAACTCTTGTATTCTACTGGAGTATATTTTGCCGGTTTAGCTATGTTTTGAATAGGAATGCTACATGTATTGATTTTCTCAAAGTGCGATACTTAATCATGTGATTGATCTTTTGACTTTTATATTATTTCTAAAAAAGATCAGATCCATCGATATACTTTCATACAAGTCTTTTTTAATTTGTCCTCAATTTCTAATAACAGTCTTAGTGATAATGTCTTTAGGTTAAGATAAAAAACTAACAATTCACTATCTTTATCGATAGGACCAGACTTATTTGAGCAAAAAAAACATATATTTACCTAGAAGACTTGAGTTATCCGATTCAACCTCTAAGTTATATACATGATAAGAGATAGAAATCCGTTGATTTCTCTTGTTAGTATTTGCCAGACAGGACTGGAAAGTTTGTTCAGCATCTAACAGAAGTGTTTCTGTCAGATCAACATGAAGCACTTTAACATATGTGTCTGTTTGTTCGGTAAAATCAGCCAATTGACAAAGAATAGGCACTAAAAATGAACTTATACCGACGCCAAATAATAGAATGCGCAATGAATTCGGATGATTGTTGTGCATATGATTAATGAGTGCTTGAAAAACACATTGTGTTTTTAAAAACGCAATAGTATTCTGCACATCTTCTAGAGCTAACTCAGTTTCCTTATTTTGTATCAATAATTGTTCATGAGACTGTTCACCAAAGAGCACTTGGCCGAGTTTGGATCCAACTGCATCCATTAGAGTAACAAATGATTTGAGACGAGGAAATCGATTGACAAGGGTTTTACGAATGAGCTGAATTGAATGATTTGTCACTGTCATAGTAGTTTTGCCACATTCATCAATTAGTCCATGTTGATGAACAAGTGAAAAAGCAGCTTCAAACAATCGGAGAAAATGAAATTCATCGTCTCGCACAAGATGACGCAACTTGTCTTTAACAATGAGTTGAATGTTCTCTAATGAAGCAAGATGTTGTAATGCCTGAAGAGCATACATCCCAGCTAAGGCATTCAATGGTTCGATCGAATCTGCTAGTTGGTTATTAATATTATCATTTTCACTGTTCATCATTTCGATCTCTTGTCTTTCTGTCTCATTCATCAAGATGTTGGACGATGGTAAAAGATCGACTGTCCTTATTAGATGATTAAACAGACTTGACCATTTCTTCTGTAGACAAAATTCGGATAAAATCGTTTGTACTTGATCATTATAATCTCCATTTGGTAGATGGACAATTTCATTTATCTTTTGGAAAATGGACTTTTCCAATGGTTTCCAAGGACCAGGAATGCGTTGCATTTTGAACATTTTAAATATGACGAGTGGTTTTGTATTGGATTCTATCATTTCATCATTACTGTTAAATATGGCAGCATCAAAAGTATAAGCTCGCTCTTGCGAAAGACCGACAAGAAATGAGTAATAAGAGCAATGTGCCACTGCTTGAGACACACGAAAAGTATTTCCATAAATAATCATCTTGTCAATGGCAACTGGAAGGAATGTTTCAATTCCTGGTATAATAGACAAGAATGTATGGAAACAACCATCAATAACAAGTGGGTGTAGATAGTAACGTATATCGTTTTGTTCATCATTAGCTGGAGTAACTCGGCCAGTTACTTTTGAATTTGTGGTTTTAACTGAAGTTGCTATTCTAAAGTTTGAGCCGTATTCATACCCTCTTGTAGATAAATGGGCATAGAGATTGGAAATATCCAGATTATACCACTTTGCTGTTTCTTCTTTACTCAAACTATAGGCTGACGAGGCATGAATGTTTAAATGAGGACCAATATCAATGCGTCCTCGTGCATGCAGAGTAAATTGGCGCAGAGAATATGCATTCAATGTTTGAAGATCAACGAAAGAATCAATAAAATCATTACAAGCCATGCCAGAAGATCGTTGACAATCTGGTCCAGCTGCCGACCATGGTCGACTGTAAATCAACCATTCCCGCATTGGCATCACAATTTGTATGATAACTTCAGTCAATTCATGTTCGTTAAGAACAAGAGCTTTGATAAATTCAACCTGCTCAAAAGCGATCGGTGGTGGTGTCTCATCGTTATTAGCTACTGGTAAGAGCTGACGACAGGCAGCTAGTGCCATCTCAAGAAATCCAGCAGCTGGAAGAAGGATGGCATCTTGCATTTTGTGCTGAGACAAATAGGCATATTCAGGTAGATTGAGATTGATCAAACTTTTCCATATTGCCGATGTGTGTTGAGCCCATTGACGAACACCCAGTAATGGATGTGAAGGTAGGCGATAAGCAAGTCGCTCTATTGCAGACTCTTTTGATTCATACCAACAAGGAGTTAAGTTGAATGCATATAATGGAAAGCTGTCAAATAAATGCTCCACATCTTTACTTGGTTGAACACATCGAGATGCAAGAAAGTGTTTCCAAACATCGGGTGAGTATGAGAGTTGTGCAATGCTTGTCAACAGTGTTTTCTGGTCATCTTCCTTTCGTTTGAGAGTAGGCAAAATGAGTGGTTGAAAGGTGGACGTCTTCTCGCAGCATTCATGAATTGATGTGGCTAAAACGGGATGAGGTGATAATTCGAGAAAAGCATCGATGACTCCATCTTGGATAATTGCCTGAATAGTATCACCAAATCGAACACATTGGCGAATGTTTGACCACCAATGATGAGCATCAAGCGGGGTTTTATCGTCTATTCGATCTCCAGTAACAGGTGAATAAAGTGGAACTTGGGCACAACGAACATCAAACATTTCTTGTGTATTTTCAAGAAGAAGACCTCGAATATCATCAAGTGTTGAAAATATCTCTTCTCTAATGCCAAAGCGATCCATCTGATGAGAATGAAATGCATTCTCGATCCGTAGTCGAGCTTTGAATACTGTCGGATGAAATGTTGCAAGAATACCCTCAAGTTCATCGATAATTTTTTCATCACCGCTAAGTGTCACTGAGCGTGGACTATTGACACCGGCTACACACACTAGGTGTTCGATTCCTTTGAGCAATGAATCTCGCACCTCTTGTTCATTCATAGCAACAGCCAACATTCGACCACCTTGACGAGTATTTCGATGTTGAAGACGAGATCGATTATAAACAATACGAACTGCTTCATTCAATGAAACTCGTCCAGAAATAAAAGCGGCTGCTTGTTCTCCTGCACTATGAGATACAATTGCACTAGGAAAGATGTGCCACGAAATGAGAAGCGCTGCAAGTGCTACTTGAACCGAAAATATGGCAGGTTGTGCGATGTTAGTGTCGTTGACACGTGATTCTCGTTCAGTCTTTTCAATCATTTCGCTCAGTAAATTAAATTCACCACCATTGATTTTTAGGAGTTCTTCACTAATTCGTTGAATCCATTGGCGAAAAATAGGTTCAGATGAGTAGAGTTCTCGACCCATGGCCCACCATTGAGGACCCTGACCACTAAAGACAAAACATATGCGATGACAACTCGATGAAACACGCTTGGTGACTAATAATCCTGGTGTTGATTGTTTTTGTACAAAAAGATCAAGTTGTTGTTGCAATTGAGCACGATTGGCTGAAACAAAAATGGCCAAGTGCTCATGACTAATAGTGCGTTTGAGCAGTAATTGTTGAGAGATGCGTGCAAGAAAAGAACTTTCATCATCTTGAGGTTCTATTTGTTTTAACCATTCGTTGAATGATATTACTTGTTTGTGAAGTGAATTACTACTCTTTGCTAAAAGTTAGATATAATTAAAGGAAAGTATAATATAGACAACATACTCGAAAAGATAAAAAGACTATGTTGCTGTAACAATTCTCTTTCGAAATGACCATTTGTGTTAATCAATCTTTCTTTTGGATGATACTCTTCGATAATAGCATGAGCATTATTGCCACCAATACCAAATGAACTAATACCGATAGCTACTGTATGTTCTTTTTCACCGTCAATATTAATTGGAGGAAATACAGTCATTGTCTGGACCACATGCAAGTTGAATCGATCTGCTTCAATTTTTGAATTATAAGCTTTGAAATGCATGTTTGGTGGAATCGCTCTATGTTTCATACACATGACTGTTTTGATAAGAGATGCAATGCCAGCTGCTCCTTCTGTATGGCCGATATTGCTCTTAACGGATCCAATTAATACTGGAGGATCGAAAGGTGACCGTTGAAAGAATTTACCTATAGTGTTAGCTTCTGTTGAATCACCTACTTGTGTTCCCGTTCCATGCGCTTCAACGTAGAAGATACGATTTCGATCATACTGTGTTCTAGCATAAATTTCGCCTAGGAGACGTGCTTGTCCGACGGCTGCTGGTACTACATAACCACTTTTACCTTCAGAACCATCATGGTTGCTCAAGACATCGTGTAATATACAGTAAATTCTATCACCATCCCGTTCAGCATCACTCAATCGTTTGAGAAGAATCAGGCCTAGGCCCTCGCCTAAAAGGTAACAGATATTTTAGTTTCTGATCAAACAGTCATTAAAACTCAAACCCTCAATCGAAGACACATCCACTGAACAAGACCACATAGAACTCTATCATGTCTAATACGCTTGAGCTTTCCAAGTTATCTTATCATTTGATGTAGATTTTTGGTGTTACTAGAGCACTTCAAAACCAATGAAACTAAAACCTTTACATTGACTATACTCAGTACATTCACATTTTGAAAGTTTCAAAACTGAAATGTCCTATAAAAACAATTTTTGAAATCTGATGATCCATAAATAAAATGAAAGCAGTCGCGTCTGAAGTTGTTGCCTGCAATATAGTAAAGTTTAGTGAAATTACCCTTTAGAGCCTTGATGTTCTAGAAAAATCAGTTTGTGAATTTCGAGCTCGCACTTTATCCAATACATGTATCAACTAAATGAGATTCTCTAAAATTTTTCCAAACTTTGGATAACCTATCTGCGACGAGAAGTTTTCGAAAATAAAATTGTAAAATATCTCTGGAAATGCACTGATATCCTGAAAATACTATTTCTTAGAAAGATATCCTTTGTAAATTCTAAAGCTTTAGATGTAAATTCGTTTAGTTAGATCTTTGTGCAGGTAAAGTTTGAATTTAAAACTCGAAAGCATGATTTTCACTGGGAAACTAACGTCCGAAAATAACAATAGAGGTGTTTTAATTGTCATTCTACAATGCTCCCTATTATATACGGTAGAGTTATCAGTTGAAGAGTAAAGCTGTCAAATTGAATTTCGATAGCCCAGTGCAAGCTGAACAGTCAAAATCTGTAAACAGTGACATTATAGGAAATAAAGTATTGTTCATAAGTGAAAGGTAAAGAAAGAAAACGATAGATTGAGACTGATGGAGTTTCTTATAAATTCGACTCAATTGGGATAAAAAAGGCGATCTCCATTCATAACAACTTGTCAATTTTTTCCATTACATGATACTACTGAATGAACAAGTGTTTATGGAATAGCATTCAAATAATTCATCCATGGATCAAGATCTTTTTTTGTCTCTCTAAAGACAACGAGGAAAGTCAAAAATAGACTGCAATGTATTTGATTTTTAGTCACATTGAGACCTTTAGTAAGATATCGTTCTCATCAAATAGAATGTATGATTACATTGTATCGAAAAAGAAATCTTCGCTGTCATACAATGAAATTTTAGTGAATTATATAAGTGCTTGGATGTGTCAATATATACTGGAATTAGTGTGACAGCAATCTCTTCATTATTTTCCTTTTGAAATTTGTCAAGGAATATTGTGAAGATATTCTCTAGATAGAAACTACGACAGAAATGTTTAACCTATAGCTTCTCTTTTCAAGACTAATCTAAAATTCAATGGCTTCCTACTCGTGGTCTGTGGTAGAAACACTATAGAGCGATCTTATGAACAAATTCAGGCAATGCTCCGATGACATTGATGAGTAAAAACGGAAAAATAAAATGCCAAAAGTTGCTATGCTTTTACGCGTCACACTGAAATAATCTAGATGACAATTTTGACCAAAAACGTAATACGCTTTTGGTCGTCTCGCAGCAGCCTTATCTATACCTTTCGCGTAACCATTGGCGTCGATACTAAATGATTGACTTCGTCCATCAACAGCAACAGCACCGATAGTTGAAAAATTGAGCAGATGCTCAGGTGTGAAAATGGCATTAACACCACCACAAACGGCCATGTCTGCTTCACCTGTACGCAATGCTTGTACACCGAGATGAACGGCCTGAAGTCCTGATGAACAAGCAGTATCCAGAGATACATTAGGCCCATGTAGATCAAAATGATATGACAAGCGAGCTGATGCATTGTAAAGCAGTATGTGTGGACCGAGAAATCGTGTTCGATGTTCTGGTTTAAGCCGAAGTGATCCCAATGCATGATCATTTGAGAATTGACCGATATGTACCGAAGTGCGCGATCCACGCATTTTTTCCAAAGTATAACCAGCGTCTTCAACCAAATGAACGAATTTCATCATGAGAAGACGATGACACGGATCAATCGTAACTGCTTCTCCATCTGAGAGATTGAAATAACTTGCATCAAAGGTGTCAAGCACTGACGTTGGCAAAAAATAACCACGACGTATGAGTTTTCGTTTGAATTCACCATTATCCCGATTGAGCGTATCAGCACAATACGACAAGAGATCGGTTCGTTCGACAGGTATTTCACTGCCTAGATCACGACTTTCCTCAAGTGCCTGCCACAAATCAATGGGCATATGGATATCACCAGCGAATTCACAAGATATCCCAATTATGGCTATAGGTTCAAATAATGTAGCGCAAGCCATGATTTTCAAACGTTCTTGATTAATGCAAATAATAAATAAGCTAAGCAAGAAAGTAAGCGATAAGATACGTCTTTGGTGCGAATATCTAGAAGTAAGGTAAAAAAGTTTTGAGACTAGATCGAACATAAGGGCAAATGTGGAACTCATATAGATGTTCATTCTGTTTTCTGTCCAATAAAACGCAATGCGGGATCACTTTAGCTCTGAAATATACAATGGGTTGTTTCATTGCCAAGATTTCGAGATTTTCGCTATTCTACGTGAATGTTTTCAGCCATAGCAGAAATCACAGAACCTAATCCATGCTTAGGTGAATGTACTATTATAACTAAGCCGATTTAATATGACCTTAACGTGGGTTCATATCGAAGCGGTCCTTCAAGGGACACCGTTAGATAACTAGCGAAATCTGGCTCCCTCCTAAAGTACTCTGAATTTTGCATCAAGAAATGATGGCATCTTTTTACATTATGCATTTTTTGGCTTCTGATCGAGCAGAAAGAAACTATTGGGCCATGCTCATGTGTGTCCATAGATACTTCGGCTGGATAGCCCTATTTTAAACTGCATAAATTTTACTATTGAGTGGTTCACTTCCAGGTTATATAACGTCAACAGATACATTGTACTTCGCTTCACTAAATGAGTCTAGATATGTAATGCTAAGTAGGTTGCTATTACAGAAACACAAGAATTTCATATCGTATGCGTACCAATTTTTCATATAAATTTTTATACATAGTCCCACTGTCATAACTCACTCTTTCCATGTACTTCAATGTAAAAGATTGAGACTTTCTCGAAAAATTTCCTCTACATCGCATTTATTGACTATACTCGTTTAGGCTTGATAAAAATAGGCCAAAGACATCGTCTAGGCAAAAATCTGAAGAAAATATAGCCTAATAAAAATAGTTCATCGACGATTTCTATAGACACTTCAATAAAAACTGTTTCAAAATGAGGTTTTAACATCATATTCGTGTGCAGTGATGAAACTTTGGTGGGTTAAGTTGTTTGTTAGATTCTTATAAGACCTTCTGGATGTGATGTAAAGACGAATGATGTATGTCATCATTAGATCCAAAACTCCAATTGAATACTTTCAAGTATTGTACCTCCGAAATAGTATTCTACAAATACGAATAGTCTGTTGTGTAGAGATTTCCAACGATTACAAGGTGTACTAATTGGAATTTTATTTTAGCGGAGAAGAGTGTTCGATAATAGACTTTTTGACAAGGAGATTCTTGTTCTATTGATATCTCTGGTCTCTTGGCATCATTCCAGTATCAGAAATCCTGAACAGATACTAAAGTGAAGTGAATATACTGAAAATATGCTAGAGAAATATCTAGATGCCATTTGAGCGATTACATCTTGCTTTATATGGAATATTGATGAAATCACCACAACAGTCGAAAAATCAAGATGCGAATATGAATACTTTAATATCAAAAATTATTTTTAAATGAGAAATGAATTTAAAGTTTAGGCCAAAACAACAATTTGAATCCACAAATTTTATTAAGATCGAAAAAGAAAACTCTATATGACTATTAATTCAAAATCAAATTTCAATCGAAATATAAGTTTATTTGAACTGAAGCATTGAGTTTATCCAAAGCTCAACTAAAAGGAAAAACGCGATGGTTCAAAAATCGCAAAAAGCACGTCAGCATGCCTTTTACAACATATGGAATTCACGGATTTTTCTCTGAGTTGCTTCTCATAGTCAATGGGAGGGTTTATAAAGTTATATTGCAAAGCAAAAGTTCGCTTTTATGGACGCTAAGCTCGAAGACCATTTGAGCTGGGGAACCAAAAATAGGAAACATATTGTTTAGTATGATTTTCAAAAGAGTTACCACTTTGTTAGATTTTATAGTACGAAAAAATTGCATGATATGTAGTTAGATAGAGTGTCGAATACTCTACATTTTTAATTCTTGTTTGAATATTTTCTGATATTCATTGAAGTATTTTAGAAATATGAGCGAAGTGAAGACCTACAATGTGTCCTAAAAGCGGTGTTCACTTAAGAATTGCATATAGTTCCCTTATTAATCAAACTTAATCTAATAATTTTTATTATTTTTGAAAGAGAAGGGCAGTAAGTTTTTTTTCATAAAGACCCACACCCTTATCTTGCTGAAAAATGATGGTGTTGCTCAACCATTTCTTGTGTAAAATCAGACAAAAGGAATTTCGATGCATTGCGAAATAATTCTTTTGCGTTGATGTTTGATCATTGATAGTAGGTCAGAAGAAGTGAACCAATATCGTGGGCCCTTCAATCATTGCACTTTATACCATTGGACTTATATCTATGAGTCCGTCCCAAACCAAATGTCTACAATATAATCGTAAAAGATCTCTACGATTTAGAGACTCAAATAACCATAGAAATCGATATAATAAAAGTAAAATATTCCATGATTTTTTTTGATCGTAAAATATGTAAATTGTTTGCATCGAAGTCAAAGGTATTACTTTTGAAGAATATTTTTATGAACTTTGTCTTTATGAAAAAAAAACTTACTACATTTCTCTTTCAAATAAAAAAATTATCAGATTAAGTTTGACTAATAAGGAAGCTATACGCAATTCTTAAGTAGACACCACTTTTGGGACACACTGCAGATCTTCACTTTGCTCATATTTCTAAAATACTTCAACGAATATCGGAAAATATTCAAACAAGAATAAAAATGTAGAGCATTTGACACTTTATCCAATTACATATGATGCAATTTTTTCATATTATAGAATCTAACAAAGTGGTGATCCTTTTGAAAATCATACTAAACAATATGTTTCCTATTTTTGCATCAATTTCATATAGATATATTTTCGCTATAACTTCTCTTCAATAAGACATATCAAGCTGGGAATTTTATGGTAAATATATCTCACTTACTCCTAGTGGCCATCTAAGTTTCATTGAATCTGGAGAACTTTTTCTAAAATGACGGTGTCCTTTCGATTAGTCCCTTTTGTAATTGTTGAAAGTCTCTACACAACAAACTGTTTACATTTGTAGAATACTGTTTCACAAGTATAATACTTGATAGTACTCAATGGAAGTTTCGGATCTAATGATGACATACGGCGTTTGTCTTTATATCATATTCAAAAGACCCTATAAGAATCTAAAACATAACTTAATCCACTCAGATTTCATTGCTACACACGAATATAATGGTAAAACCTCATTTTGAAGAAGCTTTTGTTGGAATGGTATTAGAAATCATCGATGAACTATTCTTATTACGTTACATTTTCATATGATTTCCACTTAGATCATGCCTCTGGCCAATTTTGTCAAGCCGAAACAAGTGGATCCACTAAATACGACTTAGGAGAAATTTTCGAGAAAGTTTCAGTCTTGTGCATACAAGTAAGTGGAAAAGCGAGTTTTCACACTGGGACCATGTATCAGAGTTCATACGAAAAACTGATGCGCATACAGCATGAAATTTCTGTGTTTCTGTAAAAGCAACATGTTCAGCATTAGATATCTATCTTCAATTAGTGGAGCGAAATAAAATGTATCTGTTGGCATTATATAAATTCAAAGTGAAATAGGCGATGGTAAAATCTATGGGATCTAAAATAGGCCTATTCAGGCGAAAAAGTATACGCGAACACACATGAACATGATTCAATAGATTTTTTCCGCTCTATCAGAAGCAAAAAAAATGTGTGATATAAAAAGATGTCGTCTTTTTTCTGATGTAGCATTCACAGTGCCTTAAAAAGGAACGAGATTTCGCTACTTATCTGGCGGATTCTTTCCGAAAGCTCATATTTGCAGCACCGCAAATAATCTCAGGGATCTTTCAACCAAATATTTGGCACGCAACTATGTGAAACTACGAAGGCACACTAAAGTAAACGCTAAGAATCGATTTTTGTTTAGAAACCTGATTCTCTGAACTAGAGAAGCTAAATGCATCAAAAGATGCTTTATAATGAGCTTTTTTAAATTAAATATGGCACATATTGTGAATACATATAAAGGAAACACCGAAAATCATCCATCAATTAAATTTTCACTCACTTTTAAAGCAAGAAAAAGTGGAAACCAGAAGTGCCTTCCAATCAAATTTCTACTAATACCCATTTCAAAATAAAAGGCAAGTAACTATTTTCTAAATAACTTTCACTGAGTACAAGATATAGACCTGCGATTTTCATCCTTCGAAGGAGCGATGGTCGGATCATCGATCTATCTAAAACTCATTAAGACGAAAGATGCTTTTTTTTATCGGTACTTTTGGATCAACACTTTTTTCTTCGCATATTTTCATCAATTTTCACAATAATCTCAACTCAAATTATATCAAAATTTAGCTCAAATCACCCTTTTCCCCTATAAAATTATCGCAGTTTTTCGTAAACCCGCTTAGAATAAGAGGTTCAGAGATAACAAAATATATAGTAATTTTATAGCGAAAAAAATGGTGATTTGAGCTACAATTTGATAAAATCTGAGTTGAGATTATTGTGAAAATTGATGAAAATATGCGAAGAAAAAAGTATTGATCCAAAAGTACCGAATAAAAAACATCTTTCGCCTTAATGAGTTCTAGATAGATGGATAGCCTAGACATCACTCTTTCGAACGGTGAAAACCGCTAATCTATACCTTGTACTCCGAGAAAGTTATTCAGTAAACGGCAACCTGTCTTTTATTTTGAAACGGACATTAGTTAACTGCTCTCATGGTTCCATCTATATCCACAAAGAAATATCGACGGATCCAATGGAAATGTGTTATTTTGCCTTCTCGAGTTTTGTTGATATGGAGTTAATCATTTTACAAACTTTTTATAGTGAAAGATCTGCCCTGAAACTCTCTACAAAACACTATAGTTTGGCTAATTAACGTGTCTATTTTGTTCCATAGTAACTGAAACAATACCTTAGAAATATGATCACACTTTTCTAAATTTATGTCAAGCCGGAATTTTTTTTTCATAGCATATTTTAATTCTTCGATCATCAATTTTTTTTTGCTTAAATATGATTTCGATACGTATTCATCGTCTAACCAGGAATTGGCTCGAACCATGCATTAAAATCGTATTCAAGTAAAATAATAGTTGACCGACGAGTTAATATATTCTATAAGAAAAATTTCAGTTAGACAAAAGTTTAGAAAACTATCCTCACATCTCTCATTGATTGTTTGCACTCCTATGAAAAAAAGTAGGCGTATGGAAATAACTAAAACGCAGCATTTTCGACAGAATTTCAAGTTGCTTCATTCGCTAAAAAGTGTTTGGAAAATGCTTGACTGAAAATGAAAAAACTCGAGAATACAAAATGATCCATATCCTTTAATGATTAGATCGTTTAACCAATGCTTCTGTACTGGTGCTGTAATTTTCATCGAGAGTCCACAACAAAGAAAACAACCTCTCAATCATATCCATCCAAGTTCAGTGCGTGAAAATGACATGCGCGTACACTAAAATCACTCTGATGTCTTACGGATATCGTCAACCCATATTGAGCATCCAGACAGATAAGGAAACCGAAAAGATTGCTTATCGAATCGTCATAAATAATTGCTTTTAGTGTCCGTTATTCTAGTCAACTTTCATAAGAAGGATCGACAGGGAGTCCTTTGAAAAACCCCTGCAGAATACATAGAATATCCTAGATCAGCATTCGAGTATTTCTCGTGCTGATTCGCTGTACGACTGGACTCAACTTACATTTTGATGGAGACCAGTTAGAACTCGATGAGCTCTACAAGATGCACTCATTCATTTCTATTTTCGTCAAGCTATCCATGTAAAAGTTGGAAACAACTACGAGTATTAATCCAAAAACTACATTGATTTTGATTTGTCATCACGATTTGCTTCCTCAATAGACCCAGGCCTCTACTTGACGGACTTAAGTAGATCTTGATGAGCTTCATAAAATGCATTTCCTTGTGTGCAATTTTCATAGAGTCGTCATTGAGAAAAAATTTTATCAACGCTATACCTACAAAGTGCACCAAAAGTAATAGGACAAATAATTTTTTCGATTTGTTCTTTGTACATATTCAGTTAGGTCTCGTATTTTTACCGCATATGCTAAGTGCTATAATTTAAAGATGTAACATATGATCAGCATCTAGATACAGGAACGTGTCCGAAAGCGTATAAATAAGATGAAGCTTGCTAGTGACATTATGTCGACGAGTGTGTGAATCAGTGCTTGAGCGATTGCAACCTTGCAAACATTTAGAGAGTGAACAGATTGAGCAAGTTTTGTGAAAAGCTCGCTGTTAAAAATACTTCACAAATACATATTATTGTGTGTATCATTTTCTAGTTCTATTGCTTTAATAAACGTTTTCGTAGAAGTCAAACTTGATTTCTTACTTTTGGTCGCCCTGCATTTATACGCTTTTGAACAAATTACTCCATCTAGATCCTGGTCATATCCTGCATATTTAGATTCTATCGTCTAGTATATGTGATAGAAATATCAGGTCTAACTGAATATGTATAAGAAAAATCGAAAAAGCTATTTGTTCTGTTACTTCTGGTCCATCCTGTATACAAGTAATATATGCATAGCGAAAAAGCAACTTGATTTTTACTCATTATTCGAATGGATTCTATGGAGATTGCATCAAACTTAGCGCATTATATGAAGCTCTTCAAGATGTACCAGGGTCCCGTCGGGAGACAAATCGGAACAAAAAATACAAAAAAAAATATAGCTTTTTGGATCAGTATTGCGAGTTCTGCTTAGACAAAGCAAAATGAAAGCTGAGTACAGTGGTGCGGCAAATCACAATGGAAAGTGCTCAAATCCTGACTTTAGATATCCCACATCTGGAAAATTCTCCAGAGACGCCCCAAAGACTCACTGAGGATTTTCTAGGAACTCCTCAGGAATATACTATAAGAACTGCGACTGCTGTAAATGGTCATATACAATGTCTTTATTATCTTATCCAAGCAGGCAAACTTTTGGAAAAAAACGCGTTTAAACGTTCAATCACGGCTCCAGTTTGAGTGTTTTAACGCGTTTTTCCTAAAGTTTATCTGCTTGAGTATCCACATATATCACTCGTTAGTGAAGGAGCAGTAGGTTTCTCGTTCGACTTCTCTTTTGTAAATATAAAGGTCCAATTGGGGTTTTTTTAAGTAATACTTACTTTTGTAGTGTGTTCTTGAGTGTAACCTAAATAAAAAATATATAATTCAATTTTAAAAATACTTAACGTTGCAATTATTATTGTCTTAACTCTCTATTAAAACTATGTTTCTTTTATTGCAATATAAACTACTGTTGTAATTGTTGTTGCTATTCATCTAAATAGTATCTAGGCAACCAAGATCAGCTATTGAGATGAAGGAACGAATCATCAATACTGACCTTATTAAATCTTCTTCATATTCACTTAATGAAATTTTGAAATTGCTCGGACCACCTCTTTTTGACGGTGATTTAGCAACTGTACGAGCCACATCCACATTCATAGAATGATCATTTTTGGATGTTGCATATGGTGGTGATGATCGTTGACGTAAATGCTCGGCTTTATATCTGTGTGCAAGTGCATATGGTTGATTTTTTTGTTGTTGTTCGAGTAACTTTTGTTTAATAACTTTTTGTTGTTCTTCTTGTAATTCTTTCATTTCATTTTTTAACTTCGCCATTGAACCATGTGATATTTGAAGTGCTGCCATTATACGATCATTGACATTATATAATGGTATTGTTGGCCCATTTTTTTCTGCTTCAATAAATTCGATTACATTAAACATTAATTCCTTTGCTTCTTGACTAAAATAATGACCTTTGGGCATAGTCGTAATCAATCTGAAAACAAACCAGTATCAATCTGAAAACAAACCAGTATAATCAAAAACGTTATACTTTCATATAGAATGATGACTCGCTCATATTATTTCATTATATTACTGTTGGTATTTTCCAATATACATAATGGATATTGCTCTACAAGTTATGAGACATATTAGAGTAGTATTTTCCATTCTGTTCATGTACACCATGTATAGGTTTTATCCCTTTCTTACATGTTATACATATATATATATATATATATATATATATATCTGTTCTCTTTGCAGTCTTGTTCTCTCGTTACGGTGCTCTTCTTGCTCTCATCTCTCCTAACCTATTCTCAGTTAGTGTTACAGATAATAAAAATTGACCCCATTTCACCAAAATTTTAATTACAATCCTTTGCTGCTATGTTTTTCTACATTATTTTCTTTTAGCACTAGGTTATTCTCTCGTACTTTATTTGAGGGCAAATATAAATCTGGTAATTCTAGTTCAAAACAAAGAAATATTCGCATCCCGTTATTAAGACTAATGAAAATTAATGGAGAAATAGGTTAACTCCAGCGAAAGCCATACCTGATTCATTCACTCAATGACCTATTTTGCTTGTGAGACAGTATCATTTCAAGTGATACGAGTTCAAAATATATAGTATTGGATCACATGTTCGCAAGTAAACCAAGAAAAGGTATTGATTCATTACCTTCAAAATAAATTCAATGTTTAGTTTTTAATGAGATTTCAAATAGAAAAAAGAAATTCAAAGCTTATTAAATCATGTCACAAAGTTACAGACGACTAAAAATTTATGGAAGAAAATATTTTTTAGCTGCTTAGCTTTTGAAAAAAAACTGCTTAGTAGTCTTCAGTAAAATCCTTGTATTTTTCGAACGCAAACAGTTATCGATCTCGGCCTTGCGTGGATCGATAGAGGCGAAGGCAGGCTATCTACCTATTATATTAAAGTTGAGAAACCATGTAATTTTCATGAACGATCATGTTTATTTTCAAAGACTACAATACATCCAAGTAGAAAAATGACTAGAATTTTTCATTGACTTTATAAAAAGATAGAGCAGCGTCGACTCTAGATAGTACTAAAAACCCGACTTTCTTTCCTCTTTTTGTTTTAAAGTTATTAAAAAAATGTCCACGTCCATTCAACTCTGAAATGGACATTAGTTACCAGTCTTTTCTCAAAAGTCTTTTTTCCTTGGCTGCTTCAGCGCTGATTCAGCCGGAGTACTTACGAGACTTTTCTCAAAAGGCTTTCTTTTCTTCGCTGATTCAACTAGACTAGTTACCAGTCTTTTCTCAAAAGTCTTTTTTTTCTTGTCTGATTCAGCGCTGTTTCAGCGCTGATAATGACGGGAAGTGGCCGGAAAAGTACCATAATTTTCTGGCTCAGAATACTGCTGTTATTTGCATTGATTTCCGTGTTTTTTCCTGCTGGAAACGATGATTGTTGCTGAGCTTTCCGGCCATTTTCAATCATTTTAGGAGGGCCGACTTATCGTTGTGGGTACATTTGCGAGCTCAGAAATAGACGAAACTAGGTGGTAAGCTTGGGTTGGGGGCTTCACAGGAATTTTACTTACAAAATCCAACGGAAATCAAGTAAATTGGAATCGTTTTCGTGCAGGAACCGGCTATCTGGATTAGAAATCGAAAGGATCGGATTTCCCCCCGAATTTTCCTTCAATTTCCGGCCGGATATGGCGGGAAATTAAGGAGAAAAATCCGGCTAACTCCATCGCGGAATGCTTCTTCCATGAAATCCCCGGAAAACTCCGGAACCGGTCTTCTCCGTGCAGCAACCGACTATCCGGATTAGAAATGGAAGCGATCGGATTTCTCCGTGGATTTTTCCTTCATTTCTAGCCGGATATGGCCGGAAAGTAAGCAGAAAAATCCGATAAATTCCGTCGCGGGACACTGCTTCCATGAAATCCCCGAAAAACTCCGGAACCGACTGTTTCCTTGGCGGATTGTTCGACACGGGATTATCTTTGAGATCGTATCCAAATCGTATTCTTCCATCTCTTTCTTTAAATGATGTTTTTATTAGAATGCGGTGTAGAGAATTTCTCAGAAAGTGAGCATCCGATGCTCACTTTTGCTCACTTCCAAAATTAGAAAACACCGACTGGGCTAACACTTGAAATTATCTTTGAGATCGTATCAAGATCGTATTTTCCCATCTCTTTCTTTAAATGATATTCTGAATGAATAAAGTAGCATTTTATGTTCGCTGCTACTCGATTTCTGTTTTTGAGATTGGGGAAAGTTTTTAAGTGAAGGTTATCTTTGAGAGTGCGTTATTGTAGTGGAGACCGTCGTGTTGTAGGTGATCTAATTCGATCTGGAGATGCTAGCGGAAAGGATCGGATCTGATACCAGATGGCTTCGAAAACTGATAGCTTCCATTGAGAAAAAGATCGAATCCGACGTGGTTTGTGTTGGATTCGTTACAGTGGATTCCGGACCGGATTACGCGGGAAAAGAGCTGATCATCGTGTTCAAGCGGATCCCAAACCTGCCCGATAGTATCCGACGTGGCGTGCTTAAAATCGTAAATGATCGTATCCAACCTGTGGATCCTACCGGAAAATGTCGAATCTGTACCGGATCGATCCGGAAACCGGCGTCTTTCGTTAGAAACTGATTGAATCCGCTCCAGTTTGCGTCGGAATCCTGTGCAAAGGAATTCGGACCGGATTACGCCGGAAAATATCCGTTCGTCGGATTCAAATGGATTTGAAATCCGTTCGACAGGATCCGACTCCGGAACTTGCACCTGGGCCAGGATTCTCATGAAATTCTCGTGGGATTCTCCGGCTTCTGCTGAGAATTCTCACGCAATCCCCAGGATTCCCATGGAATGCAAAATCCCGGGAATCCGCCGATTCTCCCTTGGAAAAAACGAAAAAGGTTTTCGGTTTTTTCCAGAAATGGCTTATTTTTCGAATACGGGGTGATGGAAATGTTCGAAAATTTTTAGAAAAACTGAGGTAGCGAGCAAAAATTTTTGTCGCTTATGAGAGGTCAAATCACGAGCCATCTTTTCCTGCTTTTATTTTAACTTCGATCATTCTGACGAAAAGTGATTCTTTTTTGAGGGGGTCTTAATTTAAATAAAAGAATTACAGAAATGATTCTTTGAAGTAATATCAACCGCCATAGCTATTTTTAAGATTACCCAATATAAAATAAATAGCGTTTGTTTTCTTACATTGAAATCAACAGCGGTAATTGTTCTTCCAATTAATTTTAGCAAAGTAGATCGGATTCTATACGCAAAACAATAAGTACCATTCAACTTGTTGCCGAGGTTAACCTAAAAAAAAAAGAAAAAAATTCAAATCTTGAACAAATACTTACAATCGAACACATTACTGATATTGGTACCAACAAGAAAGAGTAGCTGAATCTATGAAATCGATACTTCCTGTTGGAGTTCTAATGACGCATTTTTATTACAATATCCTTCATTGTTTTTCGAATCGCTGTTTATCGTTTCAAGATATGGAGATCAGATTGCCATCATTCGAAAAAGGAATCTCGGGCACGCCGATCCGCGTGAAATTTATTATGTTGAAAGACCTCATCGATAGATATGTCTAAAATCATTTCCTTTTTGTTGCCTATCTGCATGAATTTTGATGAAGGCCTAACAACAAATTACGCTACACAGTATACCAGAAAATAATTTATACAGTATCATAAAAGATTTTCTAGGAAAGTCCATATGAATTCGTCGACGAATTTCTACTTTCTTGAAAATACGATATTCAAGAAGATAGGAATAAGAAATTCGATTTTCTAGTTAGAAAATCGAAAGTGAATTCATATGGGCTTTTCTAGAAGTTCGCATTTAATTTAACGACTGGAATATTTTCTAGAAATTTGAAAATCTACTAAGACTTTCTGCTTTCAAGGAAAAATAGGTCCTATAAACTAAAGAATAAAATAATTTTACTTTAAACTTAAATAAATTTATGAACGTTTAATTCACATGAATGCATTAAATAAAATAATAAAATAATTTTCACTTCAATTCATAGCCACTAAATTTATCAAATAAAATAAATACATTTTCATTTTAATTTATAAATATTAAATTTATATAAATGCATCAAATAAAATGAATAATTTTCATTTTAATTCATCATCATTAAATTCCTTAAATGCATCAGATAAAATAAATAAATTTTCATTTGAATTCATAAATATCAAATTTATATAAATACATCAAATAAAGTAAATAAATAGTTTTCATTTTAATTCATCACCATTAAATCCACTAAATGCATCAAATAAAATAAATAAATTTTCATTTTAATTTATAAATATTAAATTCATTAAATGCATCAAATAAAATAAATAAATTTTCATTTGAATTCATAAATATTAAATTCATATAAATTCATCAACTAAAGTAACTAATTAAATTTTCATTTGAATTCATCACTGTTAAATCCATTAAATATATCAAATAAAATAAATACATAAGTGATTTTAATTTAAATAAATTTATAAATGTTGCATACATTAAATGCATCAAAATAAAGAAATAATTATAATTTTAATTGAAATAAATCCGTAAGCATTTAAGTCATATAAATGCATCAGATAAAATAAATACATAATTTAGGTAAAATAAATTCACAAACATTGAATAAATTAATACATCAAATACAATAAATAATTTTAGTTTTAATTGAAATAAATTCTTAAACATTTAATTCATATAAATGCACCGAATAAAATAAACAGATAGATAATTTGAATTTAAACACATACAAAATGTACTAACTCATGCTGCAGTTGAAAAAAGATAACATATTAGCTTACCGTCGGCTGCCGAAGAAAATACTGAATGCACTGCACTGTCAGCTGACTTATATATGTGAATGAACAATGACTCTATAGCGGTCGTTGTTCAAATGATTTTCGCCAAATCGAAATTGATATTCGAATTTTATTCACCATTAGTGTTGATTTTTCATCCTTTCGGAAAATGAATTTTTGCGAAAATCAAATTCAATTTCTATAAATTAGAAAATCAAGCATTTTCTAAATTTTCAAAATTCAACTAATGAATCATGAAACTTTGAAAATGCTCTAACTTTTTTTAAGTCGATTTTTTAAAAAATAGAATTTCAAAATAATTTACAGTGTGGATTGTAGTCCAAATTTCGCTTTACTTCTCAAAAAAATTCCAAAACTTTTCATGCCCGGATTGACTTCTCTTCATTACAGCTTGTTTTCTTAATGTCCTGTTTTCACAATAGATATAGAACGGTTTGAGCTACAATTTGGCGTCATTTGTTATTAAGTCATCATGTAAACACATGAACATAGACAATAAAAAAGATATCAATATAAAACTAACTATCAAAATGGTCTTTCAATCTAATTGATTTCAAATGCATTGTTGTCCCGAGATTGCTCGTTCGAATGACAGCAACCCGAGTTCGATCGCTTGAAATGATAAAACGTTACTCCAAAAACAATCGAGAAAATTTTAATAAAAATCCCACATTCGTGTGCCTCACAGCTGAGAAGAAAACTAACGAGCTTTTCTCTCTTCTATCCTTTTCATTTTTCATAGGCAGAAAAAAACATTCTATCGATCGGTCATCTAAGGTGACTACTTTCCTTGCATTACCGCTAAAAACAAGAATAACTTAATTCTTTCTCTACTATCCTTTTCATTTTGCATAGGCATAGAAAAAAATTCAATCGATCAGTCCTCATTAGTAACGGCTTCTATTCTCCATCATGGCTAAAAAGAAAAATGACTTGCTTCTCTCTTACTATCTTTTTCATTTTTCATATGGAGAGAAATAAATCCAATGAGTCAGTCGTTACAGGTAACTGCTTTTATTCTTCATCGCAGCTAAAAGTAAGAAAAACTTGCTTCTCTCTCTACTACCTTTTTCATTCTTCATAGGGAGAGAAAAAATCCAATCGATCAGTTCTCACTCGTAACTGCTTTTATTGTCCATCACACCTAAAAACAAGAACAGCTTGCTTCTCTCATACTATCTTGTTCATTGTTCATACGGGAGAAAAAAATCCAATGGATCAGTGATCACAGGTAACTGCTGTTATCGTCCGTCACAGCTAAAAACACAAATAACTTGCTTCTCTTACTATCGTTTTGATTTTACATAGAGAGAGACAAACAATCCAATTGATCAGTCGGCACAGGTAACTGCTTTTATTCTCCATCATAGCTGAAAAGAAAAATAACTTGCTTCTCTCTCTACTATCTTTTTCATTTTTGATAGAGAGAGAAACAAAATCCAATGAATTAGTCGTCACACGTAACTACTGTCATTGTCCATCACAGATAAAAACAAAAGTAGCTGGCTTCTCTTTGTATTCTTTTGATTTTATATAGAGAGAGAAAAGAACGCAATCAATGAGTCGTTACAGGTAACTGCTTTTATTCTCCATCATAGCTGAAAAGAAAAATAACTTGCTTCTCTCTCTACTATCTTTTTCATTTTTGATAGGGAGATAAAAAAATCCAATCGATCAGTCCTTAATACTAACTGCTTTTATGGTCCGTAACAGGTAAAAAGAAAAAAATATGCTTTCGTGTCTTTAATTCTTCTAATTTTTCATGGCCAGGAAAAGAAACATGGTATTGGAGAATGGTTACAGCTAACTAGTTGTAATGTGCATCGCAGCGAAAGTAAAAAATAACTTAGTCTTCTCTGGTTTGTCCTTTTATAGCCAGACAAAAAATCATGGTGTCAGTAAGTCGTCACATGTAGCTGCTTTTATTGTGCGTCATAGCTAGAAAGTAAAATACGTTGCCTATCTCTTCCATTCTTCTGATTTTGGATAGGTTGAAAAAAGAACCATGTATCGATGAACTGTCGTAGATGACTGCTTTTAACGTATATTACTAGTTAAAAGAAAGATCACATGGTTCTCTCTTTTCTATTCTATTGATTTTGCATAAGGAGAAAAAGGACATCGTGTCGATGAACTGCCACGAGTATATGCTTCTAGTATACGCTACAACTAAAAAGAAAAGTTGATTGCTTCCGTCTTTGCTATCGTTTTCATTTTTCATACGCAGAAAACAAAAAAATCCTATCCAGCGATATTGGCAGTTAACTTCTTGCAGCTTGTATCAAGGGAAAATGAGAGACCCAAGGGTGAATCGGGGGATTCCTGGGATTCCGACTCCTATGGGAACTCGGGGAATCCTATGTGACTACTAACAATTCCCATGTGAATACGAAGAACTCCCATGTTAATACAAGCAATTTCCATGTGAATACGAATGATTCCCATGGAAATACGAATAATTCCCATGCGAATACGAATGATTCCCATGTGAATACGAATAATTCCCATGTGACTACGAATAATTCCCATGCGAATACGAATGATTCCCATGGAAATACGAATAATTCCCATGCGACTACGAATGATTCCCATGGAAATACGAATAATTCCCATGCGACTACGAATAATTCCCATGCGAATACGAATAATTCCCATGTGACTACGAATAATTCCCATGCGAATACGAATGATTCCCATGCGAATACGAATGATTCCCATGTAAATACGAATAATTCCCATGTAACTACGAATGATTCCCATGTGACTACGAATAATTCCCATGTGACTACGAATAATTCCCATGTGAATACGAATAATTCCCATGTGACTACGAATGATTCCCATGTGAATACGAATAATTCCCACGCGAATACGAATGATTCCCATGTGAATACGAATAATTCCCATGTGACTACGAATAATTCCCATGTGACTACGAATAATTCCCATGTGAATACGAATAATTCCCATGTGACTACGAATGATTCCCATGTGAATACAAATAATTCCCACGCGAATACGAATAATTCCCATGTGAATACGAATAATTCCCATGTGACTACGAGTAATTCCCATGTGACTACCAGTAATTCCCATGGGACTACCAGGAATTCCCATGGAAATCCGGAGAATCCTGTGGGAATTCTATGGGAAGACTATGGAAATACTATGGAAATCCAAAGAAGGTTTGGAGTAGATCTCTGAACAATACCGGAATCATAACTTATGCTCAAGAATACAAAGTATCAATTCATTCACTTAACATTTTGAAATCCACTCCTTTAAAAGAACCGTGTAGAGCTACACTGGAAAAAAAATTGGTACGATACCGAACCAAAAAGAGTATTGTGAGCGAAAAAAGATTTCGTACATAGTACGGAACCTAAAATGGTTTCGAATTCGTTTCAATTATCTGAACCATTTTAGGTCCGGTACAGGCCACTACGAAAAGCTTGAAAAAGTGTTCTGAGTCAATGACAATCAATTTTAGTCACCCAAAGTTTTGTAAGAAACCTTTTGAGGGTTTCGTATTGTCTTCCTAAATGGTTCCGTAATCATAGAAATTCTTTTACAGCGTATCGAATCATTTAGGAAGGCAATACGAAACCCTCAAAAGGTTTCGTACAAAACTTTGCGTGACTAAAATTGATTGTCATTGATTCAGGATACTTTTTCAAGTTTTTCGTAGTGGTCTGTACCGAATCTAAAATGGTTCAGATAATTAAAACGAATTCGAAATCATTTTAGGTTCCGTACTATGTACGAAGCCTTCTTTCGCTCACGATACTCTTTTTGGTTCGGTATCGTACCAATTTTTTTCCAGTGTATGGAAGATAAGGGTCTGGGTGTGAATGTTTCGTGGGGATGGAAAGAAGACGCAGATTCATACCTTCATCAATGTTGTTAACTGAACATTCTGGGATATAGAACCGACTGGTTTCTAACGAAATAATGTGAGCCAAATCGTGACATCTAGTACGATTATTTATACAGTTCACATAGGTGAGAAATCTCAAACGCCTTGCATTATGACGCTCATATTGATTCATGGAAGAGAGAATCGGACTACAACTTTAAATTCTGCATAAAACATGTAGATATAATTGAACTAAAGAACTAACTCCGAAGCCGAACTTGCGGTCTTTTCATTTTATCCAATACTTAGTGAGTCGTAGTTTCATGGACAGGATTATTCTTCCTACACTGATCAATAATGATCTACCCATTAACATTAATATAAAAACCAAACATAAATAATCTATCGACTTTTTACCACATGATAGGAACGATATACTAAATGATTAGCTTATATTAGTTCACCATCCGGCTCATCTAATAAAATAGACATGATTAATGAGGAAACGTAATATGTTAGTTCTAATTGATGTTACTCTAGTTTTTGCTGCTCTTTCATGGAGAAAGGAAAATGAAACAGAAGGGCTTCTTGTGTCTCTACTCTGTAAAAAAGAAAGTTGGCCGACGGAACCTTTTAGGGTTCTAGATTTGGGTACCATTTTAAGAACCTTTTTTAGTTCTAGCCGAAGGCGCTGAACCGTTTAAAGTTCTAGCCGAAGGCGCTGAACCGTTTAAAGTTCTAGCCAGAAAATCTAGAACTTTTTTAAGTTCTAAATTTTTCGGCTAGAACTATAAAAAAGGTTCTTAAAATGGTACCCAAATCTAGAACCTTAAAAGGTTCAAGGCTTGTCTAAAACCTTAAAAGGTTCACTATGACACCAATTTTTTTTAGAGAGTAGTATTGGTGCATATTTGATCAGAAAATTTATCTAGACTTAGCGATAACTGTGTCAATTTTTTTCTGCTGAAGAATAAATATTACTCGAGTTTTATAGTTCAAGGAACACTTGGAAGAACTAATTGAGCCTTCGAGAAAAAGCCAGATTGCTAGATAACACAAAGAATAGAAGTGCGGAACTCAATGAAGATCTTGAATATTCGAGCAAAGTTCAGCCAATCCAGTACATGTGAAATCTGTTTTGTTTCCCATTCAGATTAAGTGAGTTGAACTTTTCATAAAAGTTTTCAAAAATGTGACAAAAGACAATAAAGAGACGGTTTCGAAACAATCAGTTTCAAAATTATCTTATGATCTTCTCCTTTATGATAATTTCAAGAAGACTATGCATCAAGTTTATAATCTAGTCTATAATCTTCTTTCCAGATTTGATGTTAATGTTGCTTGGAAGAAAATAAGAGCAACTGCGATAAAACAAGATAGATCATTTATACGAGTCTAGTGTGAAAAGGAATCCCCATTGTCTCATCTGACGAAAATATTTACAACTCATTGGATCCAAAAGTCAAGCTAGTACTTCAAATATTATGTTGCTTTTTTATCCAAATCAGGGAAATATAGAGTGGGAGCCAATTGGAATTCTCCCTATTATTTTTTTTTGTTACTATACTTCTTTTATTTTTGAATCTACCGTATATAGCGAGAAAGCCCGAAATGTGCTGCATCTTTTGGTATATTTACGTTGAACATTAAATGCAATTAAAAGTATAAAAATATATTAGAAAAAAGTGACATTTTTCTTTTTACTACGGGGTGTCCATAATGTTGTAACATTTTTTATTTGGCAAATATCTCGGCTTAGGTGAATGATAACATGTTGAATTCTTTTTGAAAAGATGCTCTACGAAAAGCGATATAAAATCTGTATGATTGAATTCTATTTTACCTGTTTTAATAGTTTTTCTTATCCTCACAATGAACAACCTACATCACAGTCTCACTTCTCATCACATTAGAAATTGTACCAAGAGATACACCGATGTGACATGCTATCACCAGTATGTGACATCATCCTTACGTTATTTCACTCTTACTTCGTATCATCCTTGTATGATGTAAACCTTGCATCCTTACGTAATACTGTTCGTGGTGTTCGATACTTTTTCAATACGTTTATAATCGCTGCGCTATTCACTGCATACATACTCGTTGTTCTCTTTTCACTTCGAGAGATTACCGCATCAAACAGATGCAAAGATAAATCGTTGAGAAGAAGAGAGGAGAGAAGAGAACAGTGGAGAATATGTGGAGTCGATTTTACGCATAGTGGAGGGTAGAAGACACTCGACGCTACACACGTTTTTGGATGATATACTTGGTTGGTGTAAAAGTTATATGATATGTAAGTGTGTGTTCATATTGAGAGAGAAATAAAATCACGTTCAACAAGTAACGGAAGTGAGCTTGAAGAAATAATAAGCTAGGCAATGCCTTGAAATACGCAATCTAGTCATCATCATTTATTTTCGGTTACAGAAATTTTTGGAAAACTTTTGTAATTCGCTACAGAAATTGGTTCATACAACTTTTGTAAAGTTTTCGACGACATATCTTGTAAAGAGAACTTCAATATTCTATTATTTTCTCAAGTCGAGATATATGCAAAATAGATAAGTCTTTCAAACATTTCTCAACACTATGGGAAGTGACGCTGTCATGTAGGTTGTTCATTGTGAGGATAAGAAAAACTATTAAAACAGGTAAAATAGAATTCAATCATACAGATTTTATATAGCTTTTCGCAGAGCATCATTTCAAAAAGAATTCAACATGTTATCATTCACCTAAGCCGATATATTTGCCAAATAAAAAATGTTACAACATTATGGACACCCCGTAGTAAAAAGAAAAATGTCACTTTTTTTCTAATATATTTTTATACTTTTAATTTCATTTAATATTCAACATAAATATACCAAAAGATGCAGCACATTTCGGGCTTTCTCGCTATATATAGTAGATTCAAAAATAAAAGAAGTATAGTAACAAAAAAAAAATAATAGGGAGAATTTCAATTGGCTCCACTGTAGCTGATCCTAGGGCAAAATCCATAATTGTCTTCTTTGTTAGCTAGCAATAAACCCAGATTTCATGCAATAAAAGTCTCCGAGCCAATTTCTTTCTTTTAGTAGACCGAAAGGCTGTGTTGTTGCCGTATTGGTTTAAGCATGTTCAACTGTCAGATTACTGAATAAATAAAAGACTACACATAAGATGGTATAGATTCATTTGATTCGAAATCTTTGTTGTATTACTTATTAATTTGTTTTGTTCTTTGTTGCTCTTTGTTATTCTACCTCGGACATTTTCCCATAAAAAATAGGAAGCAAATTGTCGTGTTGTCGAAATGGACTTGATACCAATCTAATTAGGCTAATTGTATAGAATTCGCAAAATAGATAACCCTAACAAACTATCTTAGGCTAAGTGTATGAAATACATGAACATCTGAAGCTAGAACATCATGCCGTGTGAAGAAATCTTGAGAGCTGTGCAGTTCGTGCACATAAGAAAGAAAACTCTATACAAGAAAGGGTAGTTTCGAGTTTCAATCCCTTTTCAGATCGAATATTTTTCACCTGAGAATAAGTTCAACTTGTGAAAATACATCTACTGCTTTTAATCACGGTTTTAATGAGAATTATTCTTCCATACGCGTAACTTTCTTAAACTTCTTGAGCATGAAAATGATGTGCTATAGACAAGCCTTGACGTCCGCACAGGTCAAGCATACGAAAAAAAGTTCGCCTAGGCAATGATTTTCGTCAATGGTTTAATGCAGCTTTTCTTACCATGTGATAAAGCAGTGAAGTCTTGACACTGAGCTGTATGAGATTTTCAGAATGAGAGTGAAGATCATAGAGGTTAAATATGGATTTCGGGAATGTGATTTGTAATTATAAAAATTCCGAGAATACGGGAATTCGATATCCGCAGTTTTCCCTTTGGAAAGACCAGTCGTAGCTTTCCAAAAGAGGTACTTTTTTCGAATCATATACAGCTGCTCAATAATTAAGTAGCTGACAATTTATGTAGTTGGTTACTTAAATACTAGCGGCATTTTAAGATTCTTCTTGCTATCTAAAAGATTTAATATCCATTTTAAAAAATTATATAGGTAATCATTGATTCAGGTAGCTAATATGCTTGTGACGACTTTTCTTTTAATTGGCAGCTGCATATAGCTCACTACTTCAAGTCTGCCGCTATTTAAAAATTATCATAGCTAATTACAAGATTTAATTGCTATTTAATACAATTGATACAGCTACTGAATGATTTAAACAGCTGATTGATTTCTAAG